CGATTTGACTTTTTTGACCCAATCAAAGAAAAGTGCTGTTTAATAAATGCTGAGATTCATCAGTCTCCAACCATATATCTCTGCATGCACTCATTAATTGGTTCCTAGCTTTCAAGAAGAATGTTCCTCCTTAAAATTTGTTCTCTGAGCTGAAAATTGAATGTTGTATAGGGTTGAGGTGGAGGAAACTCAGGTGGATGGTTCCTTTAGCATGATGTTTATTCGCCACAGCATTTCACTGGGATACAGAAACCATACAAATATACTTATGCGGTATTCTTTTGTTATTCTTCTTTCAATGTATTTTGTGTTAAAGATTTCTGCTTTTGTTTCTAGTATGTACATATTTCCTTGTTTTTGTTATTTATTCACTCATCAGTAGTCTGCAACATTGACAAATTGTGTCCCTACTTATTAATGCCAAACCGTTTTGCGGTTTCCTTGCAGTATCTCGTCGATGCATTCTCATGACACTGATGCATCTGTATTGATGAATGCACATTATGACAGCCCTATCAACTCACCTGGAGCTGGTGACTGTGGGTCATGTGTAGGTGCGTTTGGTACATCTCTTTACTTTTTCCTTCTAAACCACTAAAATCATGGATTTGTGCATCTCCATTTGCAGCATCACTACTTGAATTAGCAAGACTGGTAGTGGATTCTGGCTGGTCCCCTCCTCAACCTATAATTTTTCTCTTCAATGGTGCCGAAGAGCTTTTTATGCTGGTAACGTAGCCACGGTGCTTAGTACTCTTTCGCATGGAATTTTTGAACTTCTTGCCCTTATTATATTTTGTGATAGCATGAGGTTTCTGTTATAGTAAAGTTGATGAAAATAAGTTCCTACTTTACAGAGCAATGTGGCTTTTTTTGTTGCGTGTTTAGGGCTCGCATGGCTTCATGACAAAGCATAAGTTGAAAGATACCATTGGAGCTTTTATAAACGTGGAAGCTACTGGGACAGGGGGTATTGGTAAGATACGACCTCTGTTTAATTCTTGTATTCCCTAAAAAACATCTAGCTGGTGGCAAGATAATAATGGAGAAAGTCTTTTGAATTATGACAAGGCCCTTTCCCCACCAGTGTCTTCCTCTATATGACAATGGTGTTCTTAAGTTTGGTCTTGGATCTTCTCTTATCCTTTATGATGATTGAAACAAAAAAAAGCTAATGTTTTTACATATGTCTAGACCATTGCCTTTAGTCATATAGAAGAACTTCTCTTGCAACATCATGTCTCTAGAAACTTAATGCATACACATACATTATTCTTTAGTCACTAGAAGAATATATGTCAGGCTTATTCGTGACGGTATTAAGTTTCTATTGTGCTAATTTCTCGTACTTTTGACTTGATGTTAATGGCTGGCAGATCTGGTCTGCCAATCAGGGCCTAGCTCGTGGCCGTCCTATGTCTACTCTCAAGCTGCAGTGTATCCAATGGCTCAGAGTTCAGCACAGGTCTGTCTCCCGTGTCCAATTCTTTCGCTGTATGACAGACATGGACACACACTGTGTTCTCTGTTTTTGCCAAGTGATAGTGGGTTCCGTGATAAAACTGCATCCAACCATTTTGTTTCTAGTTCATCTTCGTCACTGACTTTAAGTGGTCCTGTGATATTCCCCAGGATGTTTTCGATGTTATGCCTTCAGACACCGATTACAGAATGTTTGCAAAAGATTATGGTGACATTCCCGGGCTAGACATTATCTTTCTTCTGGGCGGTTACTACTACCATACTTCATTTGATACCGTTGACAGAATAGTGTATGCATCGTTTTGGTATACATTATGGTTGAGCTTTTCCTTACTATTGTTTATTACTTAGTACGACCCTCATTTTACGGAAAATATTTTAATCAGACCTGGAAGCATGCAAGCTCGTGGAGAAAACTTAATCAGTGTGCTTAAAGCCTTCACGAGTTCTAAGCTGAAGGTTGCTAGTGAAAGAAAGTCGCTTGACGTGGATGTTAATAGTGACATGGTTGAAAGAGCTGTTTACTTTGATTACTTAACATTGTTCATTGTGGGTGCTTTTGACTCTGTTCATCATCTTTTTTCATAGTTTGTTTACACTCTCTTGACAAGCTGAAATCATGAAATCTATCAGGTGTACTATCCAAAGAAAGTAGCCATGGTACTTCACAACATTCCAGCTACTTTGTTCGTTCTTGTTTCTTTCTTTTTGTATATTCGGGACCCTGGGGTACACCCTTGGTTGTCTATCGTCTGGGCTTTGTCGAAAGGTAAAAATATACAATATTTATTTTCTTAATCTTTTTTGTATTCCTTTTCCCCTTGCGCAATGTTTTGGAGATTTAACATTGTAAAGCGTTGCCTGATTAGGACTTATGCAACATGCCGCTGGAATTTTACTTGGCGTCATATTCCCTATTCTTTTTTCAGTCATCAGATTGTCCTTTGCTAATCCCATGAGCTGGTTTGTTTTATATATCTTCTTACATTGTTCGACATTTTGTTTAATGCTAATTAAAGGTGTTGAAACTGTTGAGATTTTATTGGTGGGGGAAACTCACTAAAATTAGTGTGGATGCAGGTTTGCTCATCCATTCGTAGCTTTCTTGATGTTCGTCCCCGTCTCATTTTTCGGTCTTTTAATTCCAAGAACTATCTCTGATCGTGTCGCACATTGTCAAGGTGTTTCATCTAAGAAGATTATGAAAGTTGTAAAGACCTTATTCTTCCTCTTGTCTAAGTTGCCTCCATGTCTGTCAGTAGAAAATGTCTTTTAACAATGGTCTTGTAGGAAACATCTGATGAGGCAAGGTTTTGGGGAGCATTTGGGTTCTATGCTTTTGCAACTTCGGTATGCACTTTTGTTTTATCATTTAGTTTACGCCTCACTTCCAGTTTTTGTTATTTGTTTGGCTTATCTATGACTAACTGGAGAAAAAATTTCAGGCATATTTTTTCGCTGGATTAAGTGGAGGATTCACGATGTTTGTCATCTGCATTTCTATGCTATTGGGAAGGATAGCTTTCTGTTTTTCTGTCAAGTCATATGGCTATGATTCAGTCAAGTAAGACTTCCAGTCTTTCATAGAACTATTAAGGTTGTAATCAACAGTAACTAACTTTTGTGAAGTTGAGGATTATTTTAACTTGAAATTCTTCTTAGGCATAGGAAAATTCTTTATCGAATAAGATCGCTGTCAAATTGGATTTCGATGTTTTCTTTAGACAGTAGTCTAGATTTCCATCTCTAGTAGTTCTTCTACTTTTATGTTTTCTAGAAGACAGCTGTTTTAAATCTGTTGTATGATACATGTTCATCTCATACAGGTCTCCCATGTTTTATGTGATACTTCTTCTTCCATGCCTTTTGTATTCTGTCTATTTTGGTGGTATTCTTGCACTATTTTTGATTGAGAAGACAGGAATGATGGGAGCAATTCCACCACCTTATGGTTAGTTTTACTGAACTCCATTCTTTCCGAAAGCATCTCTGGTTCAGCTAATTGGTTCACGCTTTTTGAGGATTTTACCATAAAAACACTAAAATGCTTTGTCGCGAGTGCAACTTGCAAGTTTGACTTTCATTGCGTAAGATGTTTATTGTACATTGCTTTGCAGGATTTTACCTTGCAGATGTAGCAGTAGCTGCAGTCATTGGAGTTGTCACTGGCTTGTGTGTGGGCCCAATAATACCAATTTGTGATCGTTGGCTGGCCAAATCGTCGATCATGAAATTCGTGCTGCATTTCAGTATTGTTATGTTGGCGGTATCATCACAGTTCTTTCCTTATAGCAAAGATGCACCGAAGAGAGTTGTACTCCAACATACATTCATCACTGCGGGTAGCCTTTACTCGCCCAATATGGAACTGTTATTGTTCTTTGCGTTTTCGGACTAGTAACCTTCTTTTGCTGAAATGGGTTAAATGTTTAAATGTGCCTTTGCAGATGGAAATGAAATCACAGGCTCGAGTTACGATTTAGCTGTCGTTGATTCAAATTCTATGGAGTTCGTTTTTAAGCATGCTCCAGAGGCTGCAGTGGAACTAAATGTTGGCTCCTCGTATTCATTGGGAAACGCTGAGGTGTCTCCTCACGAAGCTTGGTTGGTACGTTAGTTAGATTCGTTCATACTTGCATGATATAGACTAAATAGTAAGTACGTTGAGTTTTCAAGTAATAGTTGTTTGGTATCTGCAGGCACTTTTCCCTATTTCATGTGTAGTAACAACAAATGAGAGGTTCCCTGATAAAGGCAACAAGATTTTTGAAGGATATAGCCAATTCCCACACCTAAAAACTCATAAACCGCAAACAACATTTAAAAACGGAACTCGCAGAGTTCATCTGGAACTGTCTCTGGGGTTAGTTGGATAAAAATTTCCTATAAGGACTCCAAGAAAAACTTCTATTGGTTTTGTTTTTGGCATTACCAATTTTTTTTTTTATTAACTACTGCCAAATTTCATTTGCAGCTCGTTGGAGGAGATCTGGGTCACGGTTCTGAACATAACTGGTCCGTTATCAGGATGGTCCTTCGCAGATGGCAAACCTCCAGGTCACACAAAGAGCCGCCCTTCCTTTTCCTTCTCTTGATACATTTTCAGATTTCCATGTACTAAGGTCTAAAACCGTAAAACCAAAATGGCTTATGTATTGCAGCACCTGAACTCCCACGGGGCGGCGGTCCTCCATCTTACATGTTGAGACTTACTGGCAACAGCGCTGAGAAGTGGATCTTCTGGCTAGAGGTAAGATATACCAATCCTTTTTATATGTTTCTAAAAGTCCTTAAATGAGTTTTTTTGTTGTTGTTTTCGAACTGACTAGCTCCGAGTTGATTGTGGCAGGCAAGTAGCGAAGAAGAAGTAAGAGTAGATGTAGGTGTTCTTGATCAACGAATTGATGAAGAAACTAAACATTTGAAAAGTCTATTCCCTAGATGGGCCGATGTAATTGCATACACAAGCTTTCTTTCAACTTACTTCTTCTAATCAATGACCTTTATATTCAATTTTTTTGTTATTTATATAAGATATGTTTTTTTCGTGATTTTTAATAATATGGTGTAGATGAACTGTATAGATGATTATGATTTATCTTTGTTGAGAAATTTTCTTTCATACTGTCTGTCATGTAGATCATTCTATTCGTTACAGGAAAAAAATGCTAATGCGACATAGATTTTGCAATGCTCATTTCTGTTGATACTTGGTATGAACAAATGATGCAATCGTTTCGCAATGAGTAAGACAGTTGTGCAATGATACATCAGACAATTTTGTTATCGTTGTGCAAT